CTACTTTTGTCACTGGGTGAGATCACCGCAAGATTGAACCCAAAACTAAGCACCTCTCCTATTGCAAGCAGAACCAATCTAGTTTGCCAAACCAAACCGATAATTCAAAAATAAATACAAAGATATCAAATCATGCATATAAGAATTCAAAGAGGATTCAAATAATATTCATAGATAAACTGATCAAAAATCCACAATTCATCGGATCTTGACAAACACACCGCAAAAGAATATTACATCAGATAGATCCCCAAGAACATCAAGGAGAACATGGTATTGAGGATCAAAGAGAGAGAAGAAGCCATCTAGCTACTAGCTATGGACCCGTAGGTCTGTGGTAAACTACTCACGCTTCATCAGAAGGGTAATAGAGTTGATGTAGAAGTCCTCTGTGATCGAATCCCCCTCCGGCGGGGTGCCGAAAAAGGCCCCAAGATGGGATCTCACGAGAACATAAGGTTACGACGGCGGAAAAGTATTTTGGTGCACGCTTCTGATCATTCGGGAATATTTGGGAATTTATAGGCCAAAGATTAGGGTTGAAGGAGTCCCGTAGGGCCCACAAGCCAGGGGCGCCCCCCCTAGGGCGTGCCCTGAGGGCTTGTGGAGCCCTCGGGACTCTTCTGGCCTCCTCTCCAAGTTTGCTGGGTGTCTTCTGGTCTAAGAAAAATCATCGTAAAGTTTTATTCTGTTTGAACTCCGTTTGATATTCCTTTTTTGTAAAAACTCAAAAACAAGGAAAAAACAGAAACTGGCACTAGGCTCTAGGTCAATAAGTTAGTCCCAAAAATAATATAAAATAGCATATTAATGCATATAAACATCCAAAAAAGATAATATAATAGCATGGAACGATCAAAAATTATAGATACGTTCGAGACGTAGCAGAGGTGAACTAGGGTTTTGAGATGAGATGGTGTTGTTGAAGATGTTGATGAAGATTGGCCTCCCAAAGATGAGAGGGTTGTTGGTGATGATAATGACTTTGATTTCCCCCTCCAGGAGAAGTTCCCCCGGTGAAATCGCTCCGCCGGAGGCAAAAGTGCTCCTGCCCAAGTTCCGCGTCGAGACGGCGGCGCTCCATCCTGAAAGTCCTCTCCTCATTTTTTTCTAGGTCAAATGACCTTATATACCAAAAGATGGGCACCGGAGGTGGGCCAGGGTTCCCACTACCCACAGGGCGCGCTTGGAGGGTCTGGCACGCCCTGTTGTCTTGTCGCCACCTGGCCGCCCCCTCTAGTAGTTCTTTTCTCTAGTATTTTTTATTTATTCCAAAATAATTCTCCATAAAATTTCAGCTCATTTGGAGATGTGCAGAATAGGTATCTCTGACATAGCTTTTTCTGGTACAAAATTCCAGCTGCCGACATTCTCCCTCTTTTGTATAAACCTTGCATATTGTGAGAGAAACGGCATTAGAATTACTCCACAAAGTGTTATAAAGCATAAAACACTATATATAATAGTAGGAAAACATGATGCAAAATGGACGTATCATGGCGCCCGTCAGCGACCTTCTCTGACCTGCCAGTTAGTGTTGCGCGGGCTGGTCACTTCTATAGTGGCAGCCCTGAACCCGGGTATGGTCAATCTCGACAATTCAGGCTACAATTCGAGGACTCTACGTGGAGCATGGTCCTTAGGGGGATGTTGAAGCTGCTCGAAGAGCTGCAGAAGCTTGCCATGCCGGCCATGGAGGATATCTTCAAGGCGTTGTGGCCCGAGGAGGAGACCGCCTCAAACTTCTTCAACCTCACCCGCTGTCTCTAGGCAGTCCCTGCTCAAATTGTGGTGTGGAAGGCCTTTTTTACTCGGGTGCACGTCAAGCGGGGGGATGCTACAAACTCATTATATTAGTTTGGACATTCGCTCCATTGCCGTGGTCGGTCCCAAGGGACCCGACGGGAAGATGAAGTCGGACGCAAATTTTGACTGAGTGATGTCGTATGCTCAGTTTTTCGAGCAGGACTGTCATCTGAACAAATTTGTAGATTAAATTTGTTAGTGGCAAGCCCATGGAATGACAATGAAGAACAAATGTGCATAACTATTTAATATAATCCTATCTGCTCCTTGTGTATTTTGCCGTTTAGGTGCACAATTAGCTTTGTCTCAATTTTTGAGTGCTTCGATCTTGACCATAAATACTTGTGTTAACCAATCTTCGGCTTCAACCTCTTAGCCATGAAAGAATCTTGGAGTATTTCCTAGGTCAGCCCCCAGACGATCTTGTGGCGCCATGTGGCAAATTGACGGTGAAATCGGGCAATCCAACCTTGGGGCCAAAACTCAAAGTGTGTTAGACAGCTTTGTCCAACAAGAAAATAGCGCTCAAGTCGGGTTCTTCTAGCCCGTAGGCCTCCCTCTTTCAATACTATCTGCTGTTGTCGAGGCCGCGGGAATCCTGAAGACCGGCGAGGTCTTGATGATGGCTTATCTAAAGCCAAGTCTCATAAGCAACATTGTTGGTTACATCTCTTTTCGTCCTACGTGTCAATCGATTTTGTGTTTTGTGATAGTTAGCTTTCGGCTTCACCCACATGAGCTGCTTAACTAGATGACCTGGAAGCACACTCACAAAGGTAGTCCTATGACACGCTTAGCCAAACTAGCAAAAGATCTAAGGCAAAAGTAGGAGCAAGGCCATCAGACAGGCCAGCAGGTGACCCGACAGCAAGGAAAAGCAGAGGTGCAGTCAGACGAATGGATACGGGGACAAGCAAAGATGCTTGACTCGGGCAAGCGTGAGAGTGGCAGTCCCAGCAGGAGGGGTGTCATACCCATTCAAGGAAGAGCCCCCCGGCTGAAGGCGAGGCGGCCCCTCCAGGTCGCCGTCCTCCCCAATTCAACCCCCACACCCCGATGGCCTGGCAGGGCGACCAAAGGGGACGGGGGAAGGTCCTCTCCATCCACCCTCCTGGAAAGCCAGGTCTAGCTCAAAGGTCAAATGTCGTCCTGTTGAGCCGAAGTAAAATGGTCAGGCTAGGCCATCCAGTCTGTCGGTATCCGGATAGAGAACCTTGATGCGCGCGGGGCAATCACCCTCAAGAGATCCCACATAGACCGTCACCATCTTACCCACAGGCTCTGAGATAGTTCCTAGGATATGATCCTTCTTAGCTTATGTATGTGGTCCGTATATGCGGAGCCAGGCCCGAGCAAGCGAGAGAGTCCCCCTCCCCGGATCCACAAGTACTCACGGACAATCACTTTAATCTTGTTGAGGGGAAACTTGATCTCTTCACTTCTCGTGTAAAGGCGCAACATCTCGCAGTGGGGAAGGACACTGTGAAGACCAGCAGGGAGATCTTCCGGACCACCAAAGAAAATGAGCTATCATTGTAATCACCAATGTAGTTGCATAGCTCTACCATGATGGTGCGACGGTGATCTCGACAATCGGCAACGGCACCTGAGTTGACACCACAAAGATGACCGCCTGGTGGAGAGAAACATGCAACTCCTCGAATATCAGGTTGCCATAATAGAAGCCACCCTCCACGGCATGACCCAGAAACTCCAGAGTCATTGGGCACCTCGGTGGGGCAACGCACTCGGACCGAAAGTGCCCCCACACGCCACAATTGAAGCAAAGTTGTGCGTCTTGAGACCTGGCCCGGGCCCCTCCCCTAGCCGTGGTTAGATAGTCTTGGGAGTTTTATGGTAACTTATTGGCAAGGAATGCATACGCCACAAAACTCTGGGGGTCGAGTCATTGCCCCATTTTCGGATTTCACATGGAAATCAAGGGCTCTTCTAGCATGTCAATTTCCCACGTGGCTGTCTCTTCGTGATCGGTTGATGGACTTCTGATCAACTGGCACGTCTCGCGCTACCACACCATCTATTGTGCCCCTTTTGTGATCATGATCGGAAACGATCAATCATATTCTACTTACCTGCGTTTTGGCCCGCCAAATGTGGTTTGTCGTCCTTTTTAGTGTTGGATAAGCCGGACTGGGCGCCGAAGATGGGCGGCATCATCGTGGAGTGGTGCAGCAGCAGAAATGTTGGACGCAAGCAACATAAGAATCTTTGATCCATCATTACGCCCGTGCTGTGGGAGCTATGAAAACACAGACACGCCATCGTTTTCGATGGAATCATCCCATCAGCATAATTGGTTCTTCAAAGAATTGACCAAGAGGGCCGGTCTTGGTTGGCGGCAGGTCTACTTTGAGAAGTTTGTAGCTTGTTACTTGCTGCACTTAGTGGGTTCATGTGGAAGGAAATGTTCTAATATGAAATGCATTTCAAATTTGATGACCCATGGCTGCAACTAACATACTTATGATCGAAGATTTAAAATTTAATTAATGATGACTAGTTGAGAGGATCAGAGGGCTAGCTACCTAGTAGACTAGACTAGAAGGTATAGTTTAGTTGTAAAGCAAGAAAGCAAGTAACACATCTTTTTTTATATGAAAAGTATTACCGTCGCCCTATGCATCAAGTGATGCGCAAAGCCATAGCAAACAAGCAACACCTTTTCTTTCTGAAAAGAAGGATAACCCCGGCTTCTGCATCAAGGATGCGCAAAGCCGTAGCAAGCAACGTATATGAGTACTACCTTGAGACGTTGAGCATGCAAACTCAAAAAGAAGGCGTGACCATGACACGGAGCAAAGAAGATTCCAAAACCCTTCCTCCCATCCAACCTTAACAATTACACATGGATTTACCGCTCCATCCAACTCGATTTCCTTATAATGCACGCTCCATCCCTCCGATATCAACCCAGCTCGAAGCGCCCCGCGACATGAGATGAGGGCCGGAGATAGCAGGATGGAGGCTGACCACCACCACCACCACGACGAGAGGTCGGCTGAGGCGGGTCATCGCCGCCATCGGTGGAAGGGACCGCGGTACAACGACAGGCAGAGGAGCTCCCCGTGGGTGTGGATGGCGGTGATCCTGTGCATGCTGCTGGCCATCGGTGTCCTCGTGTTGGGCGCCACGATGTTGGCCGTGTACTTCATCTACAAGCCCCAGATGCGTACATGGAGGTGACCAACGCGCAGCTCTTGCAGCTCGACTACAGCCCGGCCGACGGCGTCATCAGGAACATACAGGTCAAGTTCGATCTTCTGGCCGAGAACACCAACTCCAAGATCAACACTTCCTTCTCCAGCTTCAACATCGACGTCAACTTCAACGGCACCACCCTGCTACAGCTGCGCGCCGAGACCTTCACCGTTGCCCGGCAGAGCTCCGTCACGCTGCCGTACAGCGGGGAGTCGCGCGGGAGGAGGCTGGACCCCGCCGGGATGCAGGCCATGGAGGAGGCGGTCAGGTCCGAGCTGGTGCCCATCGCCCTGTCCGGCAAGGCGCGGACGCGGTGGAAGAAGGGCATCTTCCTCAAGGTCGGCTTCTGGACGCGCCTCAATTGCCCCCTCGTCTTCTACTACCGCACCGGCGTCGTCGCGCCCATCGACCACGAGAGCTGCCGCTCCAGGTCGCCGTAGCACACTGCTCCTCCTCGGGCTCTGCTTCGCTCTCCTCCTCTGCTCGGCTCCGCCATGCTCTGTTTAGCACGCCAATGGCCTATACTCTGCTATTCTATTCATTATAGGCTCATCCGTCTTAGCGACAAGAACGTACATATGCAGTTCTTATACAGGCATCCCCGCAGAGGAAAATTACTTATACAGGCAAACAATGCTGATAATAGTATGTAAATAGCCGCAGCTGCGAGGAAAACTACACAGTCATGCTAATTTGTGGTTATGTACAGTACATATATTGATATATTGCGTGTGTAATAGCTCAAAGTTCAACTCCGTCTGCTTCCGTTTACAGTTTAGTTGATCTTGTTTTATCTATTTATCACCCGCGATCGAGTTGTGGTGCGAAGATCAGCTTCGTGAAAGAAGCGCAGATTATTAAGATGCAGCACGATATCAGCATGTAATTTGGCGAAATGTCTCTGTGATCCAATGAGAATTGTCAGTTCTGAAACCCTCGCCGGAACATTGTGACTTGTGAGTGGCCGTCCCGCTCAGCTGATGATCGAACAAATTCACCTGAACGTCATATTCAGCTTTCTATAGCATTTCCCTACCACTATTGGCATCACCAAAAGTACTTCATGGAAAATCATTGCCGTTTGCCGTCTAGCTAGCACGCTCCTTCTGAAGGCCAAAATCACAATCTGAATCCCCCATGAAGTAACCATAGTACCTTCTGAAGGCCAAAATCACAATCTGAATCCCCCATGAAGTAACCATAGTACCTTCTGAAGGCCAAAATCACAATCTGAATCCCCCATGAAGTAACCATTGTAAATAAATACACATCCTAGATAAACAGGAACCAAGCAACAACGAACTTTTTTTTTGAGGGAACAGAGTGCTTTCATTCCTTATTGCATGTCAATTTACATTGTCAGAACCAACAGGGTCATACAACGGATCAGGAATATGGTCTAACCAGATTCCATCTATGCCCTGGCTTCTAGCCAACAAAGCTAGCTGATGATCTGCAGAATTACACTCTCTTCCGATCTTTCTAACAAAAAGGTCATCGTGAAGATTCTTTAGCATATTGATTTCTTCGTAGGTGCTCCACAATCTTCACTTGTGATGACTCCAACAGCCGCAATATTATAGTAAGACTCAAGGACAATAGGTGCCTGAGTAATGCCTTTGCTTCATCTTCTTCAACATCTAAACATATGCTAATTTGACAACATATTTCAACCTAACCCCAAAGATTTGACTAATTAACACAAAGTATAAACAAGGTGAAGGATTTGATGAGAACCTGGAGAAAGATGGTAGAGCATGCATGCTCCAGCTCTTGCACTGAGAAAACACCTATTTTTTCTTTTACCCTGAAACAGCAGGAAAATATCCTACTGTGATTTTTATATTAGTTAATAAAAGTAGAATTTCAACAAGTAATATACAGGAGGTGGTCCTCAAGGGGAGGAACCAATTAAAAGAAAGAGAGAAACGGAGTGCTAAAGCTTGTGAGCAATCCAAGATTTTAGCCTTGGGGAATGCTTTGGTTTTATTTGGTGCGTCATGAGAGTGAGGTCTTCTATGAGTTTAGTTCTCCAACTATTGATTGTGGGTAGGATGTTGTTGAATATGAGATCATTCCTTTGTTTCCAGATATTCCAGCAGGCATACATAATGATCATCACACTGAAAGGTTGTTGTTTCCAAACTTCGCAAGCTCAACTTGGTGGATGAAGAGATACTTGTTTGCAGGCTGGGCAGAATAATATTCCAGCAGTCTTGGGCAAAAGTATAGTACCAGAAGAGACACAGGTGTGTTTCTTCCACATTGTCATGGCAGAGGGGGCAAAGACAGCTTTGCATGTGAAAATTCTTCCTTGACAAAACAGGCTCTCGGCCCGCTTTATTGATAAAGCACATACCACAGTGCACGGCCGAACGATACAAAGTGGTGAGGAAGCCCTCTTACAAAGCAGATCCCGGGATAACCCTTTTCAGAAGCCTTCTAGTTTTGCTCTGTCATGAAGGATGAGCTAGAAGAGAACTTAGATTTTAAGCTCACTGAGATTCTGCAAAATCCATTGGAATGGGGATGGAGCAGTTGGACCTTGCATGAGGTACTTGTACATTTTCATAGAGCTCTAGTAGGGGGGGAGTTCCAGTGGTACTGCCGAATATCATGATCTTGGGAGGAATTGATGTTATTGATCATTTGTTGAAGGGCAGGGAGTTGAGTGTGAGCCTGAGTGGTATTGGAGTATGCAAATTATCAATTACATTTTCCTCACTCAGCATGCTTTGAACACTTACCTGGTTGTCTATGACAAATGAGTGTAAATTCAGGGAATTGGATGTCCAGAGGTGGTCCTTGCCAATTGTCTTTCCATAGTAAAACATATTTTCCTTGATGAGGAATGCAACTAGCCACCTCCTTGAACATAGGAATAAGTTTGAGGCGGGAGAAATCACCTATTTGCAACAAATTATGTATACCACTCTTTGCGAGCAATAACACGCGGTCGCATAGGCACACTCCGCCCTTGGTCCTCCCGGTGGTGTCGTGTTTCTTCCTTTCCCTTTCTTTTCATTTTTCATTTTTCATTTTCTTATTTTCATCTGTTGTTATAATAGATTTTTTGCTTTCTTTTCTGTTTTATTTTATTTTATTCTTGTTGGTTTGTTTTCCCTTGTTGTTACTTTTCCCTTTTTGTGTACTTTCTGTTTTATTTTCTTGAACTTTTGTATGAGTAATGCATGTATATTATTTAGAGATACATTAACACTGTTTTTGCAACATGTTAATATTTTAGAGAAGATAATCATGTCTTTGAAGACACATACAAACATTTTTAACACATAAAAACACCTTTTTGAAATGCATTAAATATTTTCCAACACCTCCAAACATGCTAAACAAAGCTCATTTTTTTCGCGCATACTAAAATTTTACTGTACTTTTCTCAAAATTGATCTTCATGTGTAAAAAGTGTTTATATTTTGCATGAAAAAATTATATTCATGTACAATAAATGTTCTCTTATATTTTTATAACAACTTGTACAAAAACAATTGTACATAAAAGAGCTCCATATAGGTTGAAAAACTGTTTAAGTTTTGAAAAAGAGTGTTCAAATAATTTAAAAATAAGTGCTAATGTATGTGAAAAATATATTAGTGTATTTTACTCAAAATAACAGAGAAAAAGAAACAAAAATTAAGGAAAAAAGAGAATGAAAGCGAAAGAGGAGAAAAATAACTGCACCGATGGACCCAGCCCATTTGCTTGAGTCGCGGTATAGGTGAAGGATCAACTTTTTTTCAAATACTTGTTCAACATTTATACTGAAGGACCCGGCCCAGAATTAGTCGTTGTTCCCTTTTTATATACATGATCAACATTTTTTCAAATACTTTTTCGACATTTCTCAAATACTTGTTTAACATTTTTATATACAGGTTCAAGATTTTTTAAATACTTGTTCAACATTTTTTTAAATACTTGTTCAACATTTTTTCAAAAAATTGTTCAACATTTTTTCAAAAAATTGTTCTAAAATTTTCAAATCCTTGTTCAGCATTTCTTTATACATGATCAATATTTTTTCAAATACTTGTTCAGCATTGTTTTCAAATACTTCTTCAACAATTTTATATACATGATCGATATTTCTTCAAATACTTGTTCAACATTGTTTTCATATACTTGTTCAACCTTTTTCTAATACTCGTTCAAAATACTTGTTCAACATTTTTCAAACGCGTGATTAACTTTTTTAAAATATTATGTGAAGTATACTATTTGAAAGTGTAAACAAAATTAAAAAATGAAATAAAAAGATGAAAAAAACTGAGAAGAAAACAAGGCAGTGTAGTAGCCGTGAACCTGGGCCGACCCATATGCTCGCGAGTCGGAAGCCCTTGATCAAAGTGCGACATTAGAATTTGGCCCGCGAGCATGGCCCAACAAACCCACAAGTCAGAGGCTTCTAAAAAAAACTCGCGAGTGACGACGCGAGCCGTGCAGTCCAGTGGCGCCGATGAGAGCATCTCCAACAGGCACCCAACGCACGGCGCGCTAAAATCTGATTTGCGGTGCACCCATCGCCAATGCACTAAAATGCAGCGCGCGCGAGCAGCCGCGCATCCACATTTGTTACATTTTATCTCACAACACATCCACAAAACAAAGACATGGCATATAATTTTTAAATCACAAACATCATTCAACCAAGTTTAAAATGAATAGTTCAATTTATTATGACTCATCAAATAAATAGTATTTTTCACGGGAAATACAACAAATAGTTCAACAATACAACATTAAAGCACAAATCATGATGCTCTTTGGCGGCCATTCCAAGCCCACCACTCCTCAATGAGATCGTTCTTGAGTTCATTATGCGCTCCCGGACGTCGAATGACATGATAGGAGGCAACAAAATGGGCCACCCTTTCAGCCCTCCGCCGCACTCGCACGGGATGCCCCAATAGCTCATAGTGAGAGTAGTCTACATCTTGGCCACGCTCATTCTCGATGATCATGTTGTGCATGATCACACAAGCATGCATTATGTACCCAAAGCATTTTCTGATCCCAAAATCTAGCCGGTCCTCTCACAATAGCAAATTGGGCTTGCAAAATCCCAAAAGCTCTCTCCACATCTTTTCTAGCCGCCGCCTGAGCATTGTGGAAATCAAGATATTTCTTACCTTCCGGTTTTTTCAACGGCTTCACAAATGTTTGCCATTTTGGGTAGATGCCATCGGCAAGATAGTAGCCATGGTTATATGTACGACCATTAGCTACAAACTGCACCGGTGGCAATTCACCATTTGCAATCTTACTCATCAGTGATGACCGGTTAACAACATTGATGTAAATAGCCGCGGCTCCGTACAGCACATATATTGCATAATATATGGAATAGCTCAAAGTTCAACTCTATCTCCTTCCGTTTACAGTTTAGTTCATCTTGTTTTATTTATTTATTATCACTCGCGAT